GTTCATCAATGACCATATATGATCATGTGACCTCATTAAAAATGTATAACTATTATATCTAGATCACTATAGATGCAGATAGATTTTCAACTAGTGCTTTATTGAAGACATTGGGTTCACAATCTGTTTAACATTTTTAATAACCATATATGGTCATGTGGTCTCATTAAAATGCATAAATATCATATCTGAAGCACTATATAGACCCTAAAACAGTGCTTGCAATAAAGATGCCATGGATTCTGGCATCTGTCCCTTGAAATTGAATTTGTATTGATGAATTAAATAATCAACCTCCATAAAACGAACACCTGTCTGAAAGTACCATGGATAGTCACTATAAACAGGTTGAACTGTAATTAAAAATGTTGTGCAACATATGTATCCAATCAGAAATTAACAAAAATATTTATTTTTGTTTTTTCATCAGGACCAATATATCTTCTGTTACAAGACAATTTTAGAAGTTTTACAATCCCTTTGAAGACCTTTAAATATTCCAGGTCATTTTTTCGAATATGCAAAAGAAAATATTGAATGACAGTGTATGGTAGAGAGACTTTAAGTGGGTTGTGTGGTCGCATTAGTGGTAGCAACCTACATGGTGTGATGTAATATTAAATGCCGAAAAGTTACAATACAATGTTTTTGCTGCATGGCAACACTAATCTTTAAGATATTATTGGAATACATTTTGTTACTAAAGAATGGAAAATGAACAATACTCTCATCCTCAAATGTATCCTATGCATCATTGTTTCCATGGAAACATTTTACATGCCAAAACATCCTGAACAGTCAGTATATGCCTAATCATTTTCCACTGCCACCTTTTCTTTGTTGAAAAGTTTTCTTTGTTAATCTTATGTAATTTATTCATACATGTAACATACATTGTAATTGCAACAAACTTTGTAAATTACTGTATATCTGATGTTGATTATGTTTTAGTTTTTGTTCATGTACATTTTTATTAAAATACATTGTTTCTGTACAAACAATATGAAATCATTTTAATTATTATCGACTTGAATTTGTATATAGAACATGTGTTGTGTTAGAAGATCAATCAATTTAAATTTATAACTACAAATTGTACGGCTTGTACAACATTTTTTTAAGCTGAATTTGTAAAGTTATTCAAAACTTTCTTTGTAGTTGTTGACTTGTATAAACATATATTGTTCATTGTTATATTTTTGTATTCCAAGTTTGTGAGGTTATTACTGAAACTTTCTATTCTCATAGAGGTATTCCTAGATCTATGTTACTGTACTTTTTATTGTAAAGCTATTATTAATAGGTGTCATATTTATTGTGTGTTCAATTTATCGAACTATATTTAACTATAAGGTTATGATGCTACATTACCCTAAATATATTTTATATATATAGTATTTTTAGTAAATACCTATTAGTGTTTCACACTCAGTAAATACTTTCAGTACATTCAATATACAAGTATTTTCAGTACCTTCAAATTCAAAGTAATTTTTTGTATTTTAAATAGTACATTCGATATCTTTTAGTACCTTCAATTAATACGCACCTTTAATACCTTAAAATTAGTACTTTTAGTACCTTAATAATATATAAGTACTTTTAAAACCTTGAATATATAATTACTTTTGGTAAAATAGTGATAGACTAATTATGTATCTGTAATCATGTTCATGTTACCTTATATTTGCTTGGTTGATGTATTTTGATGAAATAAGTTTGCATATTCACACTTCCATTAAAGTGAATGTTAATGTGTTTTGCTTTCAAAGAAATTAAATTTAATTTTACTACATATACAAAAACATTTTTTTTTTCAATTTACGGTGCTATACCTAAAATCAGATTAGCTTTGATGTTAATTTGATGTTCCCGTGCTGATTCCATCCCTTAATGAATATCTAGTGTAATATCCCATAATATATACTACCTGTGATTTCTAATATTTAATGTCTTAATCTAATAATTATTTTTATTATTATTATTCTATGATTTGTTCCATCCAGAATTAGTATTCGTTTTTGAGTGCATGTAAGAAATGTCGTAATTGTTTCTTTAAAAAATTTTGTTTTGCTATAAACGGGCATACCTTCTAAAATATGTTTTTAATATATATAATAAATATAAAAACAGCATTAACAATACTTGGACTTTTTAACATTCTTCCAAATTGTGCTTTTAAATGTGTGCTTTTCAATTATGTAATTTGTCAACACTGGAAAGCATTTTCGGGAGCTGAAGTCTTTCTTGCCATTTCATTTTGGGTAACTTAATTTTTAACAAATTTTCGTTTATTATTGCTAATTAAAAAACTATGCTTTCATTTCCATTACCGAAACTTTAATGTCTGTCAAATACTTTATTGTTTCAATGTTTTGTTAATGTGCAAAATGGCCACAGTACACATGGCAGTGCTCATTGTTGAGAATTTAACACATAATTCATCAGTGGTGTAAACTATGATAAAAATTGTTGAATATTGTATTTCTTTGTTGCCACACATCAACGTGTACACATGCATACTAGGAATGCGATACTGAAGATACAGAACGTTGCATTTGTGTGTTGTATGTATATGACACTAATACTAGTGAGCAGGTTTAAATATGCACTCAGAGATTACTCCTATTTATTGACGTATGGAATCTATTTGTGTGACATATGTGATGATGAGAATAATAACAATTTGCAGGTTTATTGAGGTCTTGAAACTAATATGTGACTATGACAATAAGAATATGGGCAATGTGTAGATGATAGTATGTGTTGGCAAAAATTATTAGAAAATGAAATTTGAGTAAACCATCGCCAACATTTAGACCTGCTTAACACAGTTGGTATGTTTATATTAGTGGCATTTGAAGAGTTGCATATTTCTTGCTCGTTCAGATGATCAAATATTTTCATAATAGACTCTGAGTACAACACAAGTTATGTAGGACATGTGCATACATCACATTCAAATAGTGCCCATCACATGAATGGCTCACTCACATGAAATTCCAGGTTGTCTCTGGCTTATCCACTGCAGACAAACCAACATATTTTCAATTTTTTCGATGATTCTATGTATTAAAATGTTTTAGTTAATTAATTTTCAATGTCTATTTTTATTTATTTTATTAATATCTGCAAGTTCTGAGAATTTATTTCATTTTTACTTCTATAATAAATGCATTATATGGTCTGATATAGAAATGTCTTCCATTGTTTTGTTTTGTTACAGGTAAGCTGTAATAACTTGCATGCCTTGTTTTGTCTTATGTAAAATGTTCACTTATGCCATTGTGCCCCTACACAGTTCCCATACTATAGGCAAATGTCAATGTAATATTTGTCCACATGCTTTGAATAATTCTATCTTTCCAAGAACTTATACATTACCCAAACTATCTTTCCAAGAACCTATACATTACCCAAGCTATCTTTCCAAGAACTTATACATTAACCAAACTTACTTTCCAAAAACCTATACATTACCCAAACTATCTTTCCAAGAACTTATACATTATCCAAACTATCTTTCCAAGAACCTATACATTACCCAAGCTATCTTTCCAAGAACTTATACATTACCCAAACTTACTTTCCAAAAACCTATACATTACCCAAATTTCTTTTTTAAAGTACATATACATTACCCAGCTTTCTTTCCAAGAACCTATACATTACCCAAGCTATCTTTCCAAGAACTTGTACCTTAACCAAGCTTACTTTCCAAGAACCTATACATTACCCAAACTTACTGTCCAAGAACCTATACATTACCCAAGCTATCTTTCCAAGAACTTGTACATTACCCAAACTTACTTTCCAAAAACCTATACATTACCCAAATTTCTTTTTTAAAGTACATATACATTACCCAGCTTTCTTTCCAAGAACCTATACATTACCCAAGCTATCTTTCCAAGAACTTATACATTACCCAAACTTTCTTTTCAAAAACCTATACATTACCCAAACTATCTTTCCAAGAACCCATACATTACCCAAAATTCTTTTCTGAAGAACCTATAAATTACCCAAACTTTCTTTCCAAAAACCTATAAATTACCCAAACTATCTTTCCAAAAACCTATACATTACCCAAGCTATCTTTCCAAGAACTTATACATTACCAAAATTTATTTTTTTAAAGAACATATACATTACCCAACTTTCTTTCCAAGAACCTATACATTACCCAAGCTATCTTTCCAAGAACCCATACATTACCCAAACGTACTTTCCAAGAGCCTATACATTACCCAAACTTACTTTCCAAGAACATATACATTACCCAAACTTACTTTCCAAAAACCTATACATTA